GAGAGATAAAACCAAATTGCTGATAATTCAATATATTTATTTATAAAGATAATTACATATATAACAAGAAATGAACTGTTAAATCATATACAGATAAATATATAATGCAAGAAAGAAACAGTTGAATTATAAAGCACTACAAATGGCTCAATTCAACTCACTGCCGTGAGAGAGTTGTGAGAGACTAGCAGTCCTTCCAGTCCAGTCTGCTGCCAGATCTTCCTCTATTTATGGAGAGAGCTAGGCTGTGTCAGCACAGCAGCCAATCAGAAGGCAGGTCGCCAACTGCCAGCCAGGTCACCAACTGTCAGTCCCCAGCTCCAGCGATGTCTTAAAGGGACCTCAACTTACAGCGACACAGAACACAGGTAGTGTAGCCTTTAAATTGAGGCACAGGACAAGCAAGGCAGCCGCACACTGGTCCGATGATCAAAGAGCGAGAGACAAGAAAGGCGAAACTCACCAAGCCATTTATCTCTCTGCCCTTCAGTTAATCCCACTTGTGTTTATCGGCCAGGCTGGCACAATAAACTATCTCAGATACAAAACAGTGGCTGTGAGCGGTACAAAGGCACAAGCTGTGTCTTAGTCACAGATGTGAGACTATCGGATCCGGCGTGGTGCTTCGCACCAACTAGACATGCAATAAATATTTATAGAAGAAATGAATGAATGATTCTTCAATCTGCACTTGATGCCGCAGGAAGCCTCTGTCTTCCCCTCCCTCAGAGTTCACTGTGGCCTTGCCTGTCTCCTAGACTCCAACAGTGCTTACCATCGATGCCCGTCTTTTGGCACTGAGCCAAATGCAATTCAGTTCCATTCAACCAACTTTCATGGAGCTGAACTATTGGCAGGAAGCATCCACAGTCTCACGGAATAGCTAAAGCATTTCTTAGCTCACGGCGCCTCAATTGTAATTTTTAAACAACCTTGCCGTGGCACAGAACCCAAGGCTTTTTGAAAGTTGAAAGACGTGATTAGAAACGACTTCCCTTGGTCAACATACTCCATGACTACTCAGGAAATAAGTGAGTTCTATGTGGTGGATAAACAAATGCTTATTTGACAGGTAGGGGGCCAATGCAGAGGGAGGTTGTGGTAGGATGAGGAAGACTGGTCCTCAATCCCTGTTGGAAGAATTTGCAACTGAAGTATGTGTAAGGGGGAAAGGGCTTGGCATTTTGGCCAGTCAGATCCTGAGATGCCTAGGAACCTCTTGTGGAAAAAGACACCCCAACATCACCGCCAGCACCAACACTAGACACAATTGTTGCTTGCTTTTTCTCCCTGACAGTTGGGGTTTTCAATTTTTATAATTATTCCTTATTCCTGTCTCCAGTCCCTTCTGTGTATCTCTATACATCTCACTCCTCCTCAAGTCCGTTTCCTGTAAATTAGTTCTTTAATTTCTCCTAGGTGATTACTTATTCGAATTGAATGAGAATTCGCCTTTTATGTGTTCATCAAAATACAATTTTTAATGGTCAACAGTTGGACATAACTGCAATCTTACAATAAGGGCGAGTTTACATACTCTAGATGTGTGTATGTGTATGTGTGCAATGCTTCTTTTTCTTGGGGCTTCTCTGTGTTTTCCAAGTTTCCTGCATTGGAAATGGCCATGAGAATCAATGGGGGAGCTGGGGGGGGGTGTGCATTGTGAAGAGCCTGAGAGCCCAAACAAGAGTATCAAGTAACTTTCTTTAAAAAAAAAAATACAAACAACTTAGTCATGAAGTCGGTTTTGACTCATAGCAACCCTATAGGGCAGGGTAGAACTGCCCCTGTGGGTTTCCAGGCCTGGCTTATTTTTTTCAAACCATTTTATTAGGACCTGAATTCAGACATCATACCATTCCATAATTCAATCATATCAAGCGGTGTTGTAAAACATTCTCTTCCTTCTTGTACAACTTGATATTCATTGTTGCTGCTAGTTTTTTTATAGTGGCTGATTATGTCAAATTTTCGAATGTGATAGCTCCAGTATTGTGAACCTATATCACTGACATTTTCTGAGAATGAAGTCATAATTAAAGAAAAAGGAGTAAAATAAAAGATCAGTTACTACTAATGATGTAATCTACTGTTGAATGATTTTACAAAACAGTCTGTTATTATACTTTTGTAATCTAGGAAATCACCTTGGAGCAGTTTAAACTATATCTATCACATTAGTCTGTGGTTAAAATGGATAATATGCCATACAGAGGAGTCTGTGTGGTCTGATACGGGAGGAAACCCACAGAGGGAGTGATGCCAATTCTAGTGATGCCAATCAGATGACTAGAGCTGAGAGGAGAATGGAAGGAACAATTGAGTTTGAGAAATGCTACAAAGAAAGATTTTGAGGTGGAAAATCAAATTTGGCTAAATAGCTGACAAGGTGGTGGGTGGAGCCATGCAAGAAGAGATTTTCCAAGCAAATGGCTGTTCAGAGAGAAGGGTCGAGAGTCCAGTCTTCAGGGACTCCAACAGTTAATGGGAGAGGGGAAGAGCAGGAGCCGGGAGAGACCGATGCGTCACAGTGATAAGGAGAGAAACTTGAGCATGCAATGCCAGCAGAGCCAAAGGTACGACAGTTACAGGAAGGAGTGGGTGGCTGATGGTATCAAATTCAGCCCTGAGGTCAATGATGCAAACTGAGCAGGGACCCTTGAATTTGGCCTGGAGGTCACTGGTGAACTTAGAGAGGTTTTGGCAGAAAGTTCTGGACTCTAGTAGGTTCCCAGGGAGGGAGAGGTGGAAAAAAATGGAGGCAGCTTCATGGATCTTACTCATGTGACAAGAGTAATGTATTAGCATCGAGAAGAATAAAGTCAAACTTTATAACCTACTTAATCACTCTGAACCTCGTTTTCTTCTGAAAATAGGCGCAACTGTAACCATAAGGCTGCTAGAAAGTACAATACATATTTAAATGATTATTTTTATGTCCTAGGGAAGAGACTTTCTCTTCTACATACCACACCCCCACCCCTTGCCCTACCTGCAAAAATAAAAAAACCCAGGAATTTCTAGGTATGTTTATGCATTGACCAGAGGACTCTTGTAGCTCAACACTCCTGTGCCTAGGATGGCACTGCTGTGAACATTCCCTAGCTGTATCCTCTGGCGTTCAGCATGCCAAGTCCCTTGAACAATTCTTCTCCAACACCCTCAGAAGTGAGGACCTTGAGGAAAGGCGATTAGGAGGGAACTCGTAGTCAGGGTCAAGTAGAATGTCTCTGAAACTTGTGTAGAGGTGGTTGAGTTGGGCCCTGTTTCAGGCACTGGGCATAACGAGATGCCAATCACAGAGGGGACTGCATCCCCTAAGTGGATGGTAGGCTGGGATGTGGCTAGGGTCAAGGTATCAGAATACCTTTTTTTTTTTAACCTAGGGCACCTGCATACTGAATGTCCCCTGGGCTGAATGGTCTAGAACAGATAGCTTGATTTTCAAGGTGTGCATGTGTGCATACCCAATGAGATAGACTGACAAAGTGACTTCAACAATAGGATGCAGCACTATTTTGCGGATGGCGCAGGCCCGGGGGCTGTTTCGTTCTGTTGCACATAGGGGCACTATGAGGCAAAGCCAACTGGACAGCACCGAACAACAACAGAAGTACATCCACTTTTCTCCCTTTCGGTTCTCAGTTGGCAGCTAGATACTACCAGGCATGACCACATCTTTTTCTCCCTCACTCTCCCTCCAAATCAACCCTTAAAGCCTTTTTCCTGGATTGATCTTTCTTTACCTTCGTGTCTTGCTTGCTCTTCCCTAGGGAGAAAGAGTCGCTTTCCCACATGCCATCAGGGCAGAGACCTATGACCTGGGTGGGAGGGGAAGCCTGGGGGAGGGGGTGAGCATCTCCTCTAGCACTGTCACTTCTTTCAGATCTTGAGCCTTCAGAAAGTGTCGTATGAGGAGCATTTCAATGTCTCAGATCTCCTTTTCTTCTTGAACTTTTCATTATGAATTCGGTGAAAGTGTACAGAGCTGATCGTCAATGTTATGGTCAACAACGGCCACACATGTATCCACTGTGTTCCTGATTCCTCTTACCTGTGGACATTGGCTTTACTGTTGGGGAGATGATTTAAGAAGGGCGGTGGGGTTACCTCATGTGAAATTGCTCTCACGCTTACACCTGCACATGCCCAGATGAATGGGCCTCTCTCAGACTCTCATAGGAGATCAGAGTAAGAGGACTCCAAGGGGGCTGGCTTGCTATGGAAAAACCCTTGGGGAAGGCTTGTGCTGTGGTCTTCTAGCAAGTGCTCAATAATTTCATCACCAAACTTGCCCTGAGCATCTTTTGAAAGAAGATGCTCTTCTTGAGCCCAGGGAAAGCAAGGGGGCTAGAAAGACAGGCCAAGGTCTCTGCCTATGCGAGTAACTGATGGAACAGGTGAACTCATGTCTTGACTTACACGCTAGGGGAGTGCAACCCTGGGGAAAGGCTTCACTGGTCTTCCTTGAGAGCCCCTGGGAAGGACTGGCTTTGGGGAGTTAGATGCTGTAGCTGGGTCAAGGCAGGGCCTGTCCTCGGACGGTGGCCAGAAAGTTGGAAGGAATTCTCTTTGCAAACCCAGGGTCCAGGCTTGGCCCCAGCAAGCTGCCCTGCCAACCTCTGCTGCCTAGGGCCTCGAGCATTCCCAGCTCCGGCCCCTCTCAGCCTCTCCTCCGGACTCGCCCCCTCCCTTGTCCCCCTTTTCCTCCTCCCCACCAGCTGTCCCCTTTCCCTGGAGCGCCAGAGACAGCCGGAGCCTGGGAAGAGGCTGACGTAGGGCAGAGGGGGCGTGGTGAGGACAGGGAGGGGCGGGGCTGAGGGGATAAGGAGGCCCGGGCGTCCAGCGCCCCCAGCCACTGCACCACCCGCCTGGGAGCTGGGTGCCACTGCCATCCATCGCCATCTCCTGCCCCTGGCTCAGTCGGCCTCATTCGCTTCCCTCGCTCAGGGGGAAAGGTCAGCAGCATCCTGGAGCCGCCGTGTCCCTCCCCGACAGCCATGAACTGCAGCGAGAGCCAGCGGATGCGCACCCTCCTGAACCGCCTGCTGCTGGAGCTGCATCACCAGGGCAATGCCAGCGGTCTGGGGGCTGCTTCCGGCCCGGGCCCGAGCCTGGGCATGGGGGTCGTGCCTGACCCCTTCGTGGGCCGCGAGGTGACCAGCGCCAAGAGCGACAATGCCTACCTCTACATCCTGCTCATCATGATCTTTTATGCCTGCCTCGCGGGGGGTCTCATCCTGGCCTACACCCGCTCTCGCAAGCTGGGGGAGGTCAAGGACGAAGCAGCCCCGGCCTGTGCTGAGCACCAGTGGGCCCCTGGAGGCGCCTGGGCCAATGTGAATGCTGAGACCGCCGCCGGCTCCCTGACCGAGGGCCGCCGACAGCTCCAGCTTGTTCCTGGGGGGCTGCCCTCCCTCCCCCAAGCCACTGAGGGGGTCTAGAGGCACAGCCGCAGTGCCCTGCTCATTTTGCTTCCCCCTTGGCGCGGCTCCTGCTGTTTCCTCCCCTTTCAAGGTTCTCCTCACCTGAGGCCCAGGTAGTCATGGAGGCCAGGGGACCTTGCCTGCAAGGCCCTGGAAGGAGAAGCACAACCCTACCTACCCCATGGCCATGTTCTCCCTCCTGATGGCCTTCCTTCCTTCCATCCCCCCACCCCACCCCCCACCCCCCAGCTGGCACATCCTACTGCACTTCCACTGCCTCTGCTCTCATCTTCTGACAGCCCCGACAGCACTCTCCAGCCCTCCGGGAACGGCATCCAACAAATTCAACACTTGGCCTGAATGGAAGCACTGAAGTCAATCAGAACACTGGGCAGTCTAGCTGGCAGCTGCTCCAGGGATGGCCAGAGACTGCACACTGCCGAGCCATCCGTGTCGCCATCATTGCCAGGGCCGGCCGTGGCAGCAGCGCCAGCTTCCCGTTGCCTTAGGGACAGAGACAAAGAAAATGAAGAGACCTCAGACATCTTTGCCCTCCCTCCCTCTCCCCTGCCGGGAGCTAGCCGGACACAGGTCCAGTCTGTGGCATGGAATGGGCTTCTTGGGGACTGAGGGGGAGGGGGACTTCACAGGCAGGGGGAGTCCTATGACTCCAGCTGTATGGTTTTCTTGCATCCCCAAAGGCAACTTGCTGGCTCTTTAGTAGCGCTGCCGTCTTCTGCTGTGGGTAGCCCTTACTGGGAGTATCACCACACATACCTCCCAAGGCCTCTTCGATATTGATTCAATTGTTCTCCCAGCTGGCTGCTTCATCAGGGGAGCAGGAGGCTCAGATGTCCCCTGCTCTGTAATCCTGGGGCTGTCAGAGGCAGGTAATAAAGGTTGATGAAACCATAACCCATGGCTCTTCTCTCAAAAGATCTTGGCCCTGGGACCCCATCCCCTAGAGTGAAGGAAGGAATCTCATTTGCTTTTGTAAATGATTGAGGGACCTGGGTTGTGCCATCTTTATACATATCTCTCCATCAAGTTTCAATACATTAGTTGTGCTTGTGGACAAAGAAAAGATTGCAATGGTCAAATGGGTTATTTTATCTCTTCAACTGTTTTTTTTTAAATACCACCTCTTTTTCCTAAATTTAGAAACACTTTCATAATGCTCCTAAGGATTTCCCATTTTCTTTGTAGAGATTTTAAAGATGTGCTTAAAACAAACAAACAAACAAACAAACCTTCACAACAACCACTATTTGCTATTATCAAAGCTATTTTTTAGAAGTCACTTTAGTAACTCAGGGGGAAAAAATTCTTTAACAAGAATGAAAAACAAATTAAAAAAACCAAACCCACCGCCCTTGCTATTGATTCCAACTCCTAAAAAGCCACCAAATAGTGTAACCCCTCAACCACAGGGAAGAATGTTCGTCCCAAGTAACCCTAGCAACAGATGTGGGACTCAGAAGGGTGTGTGTGTGTGTGTGTGTGTGTGTGTGTTGATATTCTCATCTCAAGAAGGTTGTCAGAAACTTTTAGGGCTGAGATGACAATGGTTCTTTGAGCTTTATCAAATGCACATAAAAGCCCTCTAGTTTTAAAGTCAATTTGCTAAAATACAGCTAATTGCATAGTAATAGCAGGACAAAGATATTATGGGTCCCCTAAAATGCATGGGATAATACACAAACCTCACTCATTTATGCCCAGCTGTTATTTGACTGGAATGATTAAGAAGTTAAATGAACATTTATTTCCAGAATTCACTCCTTAAAGCTACCTTGACCTTGCCTCACTGCTTCCTCTCAGTTCTAGCTCCAGCCACCATCATTTTGTTTCCTTGCAAGTAGGGACTAGGGATTGGTCAGGAGCCCAAGACAATGGGAGGAAGAGAGAAGAACTGTGGGCAAGTCACACTGGCCAGACAGGGAGGTCCAAGGGGAATTTAGAGGGAGGAAAAGGACACAAGGTGGCTTTAAAAAGTTCCTGGGGGAAAAATGAAATAAAAAGATAGTGGAAAATGTCCATGAACTTTCTGAAATATTCTTGTAGGCAGCTGAGTTAGTTAATTGTGCCAGCCTGGCCGATAATCACATGTGGGGCTGGTTGAAAGGCGGAGGGATAAATGGGTGGTGAAGCCTC